GCCCGAGTCAACCTCTTGTGCCCTCGGGTTCATCCCATTCCCCTCCACCCACTCAGGGTTCTTCCATTCCCCTCCCTGACCCCACAGATCACCCTCATTCCACCCACACCTGTCCCACGTTTTTTGCCCTCCTTGCAAGCCCAGGTGTGCCCATTCCCCTCCACCTGTGCCCAGCCTCCACCACTCAGCGCTGAAGGCACCCAAATGTCCATGCTGGCCACCTTCCCCTTCTCACCAGGGGCCAAGAGCTTTGCATCTCCAGTTTGAGACTTTTTCCAAGCTACCCTGAGCAGATAATCCTGGATAATGCTCAGCATTCAGGGACAGAAGCTCTGGAGACATTCATTGTACACCTCAATTCCCCCACAGAGCCCCTCGTGGGCTGCCAGGGGCAAAGTCCTTCCAAGCTACAGGTGCCTGATGAAATATTCCAAGATGGATTGCTCTATGTGGCTTGTCCAGTCATGGCCTCTTAATCTTTCCTTCTTCAGAGCCAGGTTTGTAGTCCTGCATACATCCCATGTCCTTGAGCCTCCCAGGCCACCTCAGCTGCCCTGATCCTTTCCACGCACATTCATCCACAGAGTTTGCAGGTTTGGGAAGTGTAAAATTACTTTTCCATGCTTGTTCCCTCTCTTCCAGCGAGGCATTGCTTCTTTACTTGGCCTCATTCATGCACTCCAGGGGCTACCCCATCCCTGATTTTGTGAGACACCCTCCTCTCCTACAGGCATTTTTAACCTTGCCCACATCCACTGGCACCAGCTCCATAATCCAGCTTTGTAGCTCTCCAGAATAACATCTGTCTCTTCTGTTGGCAGCTGTTTTTTTGGCTACAGGATTTTCCTTCTGCATCTGTCCAGAGTTAGTCGGATTTCTAAGACCCCATTTTAGCACTGTGTCCCTGGGACATTATTTGCCCAACCCAACCCATCCCAACACGGCAGGAGCAAGGGAGGCTCACGGCTCCCTGTGTCCAGACGTGTCTCAGGGGTCACACATCTCACCTTGACCCCTGCTTTGCCCAGACCAAGTGATGCTGCCTTTTTTTTCCTATTTCCCAGCAGTGATCTCTCCCCTACCAGGAACAAGCTCGTAGTGACTTGTAACACTGTGCTGAACATGTCTCCTTGTCCTTAGTTCAACACACATTTCACTTCCAAAAACTGATCAGACAAGAGGCAGCAACCCTCAACAGAAATTCTTCCCACTCCTCTTCCCGCTCATCCAAGCCCACCAAGGTGATGTACTGAAGGCAACTTTCTCCTGGAAATGCCATAAAGCTTTAGGGCAATGAGATATGAGACTTAGAGCAAGGGAGGAGAACGTGGGGATGGTGCAGAGCAGAACCCAGGGACTGTATGAAACGTCATATGGGATGTTTAGGGGAAGAGACGTAGGAAAGGGAAAGGGAGGGACCAGAGGAGGGACAAGCATGGGAAAACAGAGAGGAGAGGAAAGGTTTTGGTGGTGTGTAGGCAGTGGTAGATATTCTTGCCTGCCTTGGCAGCTTGTTTCAGCACTGCAGTCTGTTCCTAGACCCTCATTAAATCATATTTCTTCTGTGCAGCTGCACTCCCTGTTCAGAGCTGCCAAGGAGAGAGAGGGGCAGCTTCCTACTGGTTCACAAGAGGATAAGGATGAGGAAAGTGTAAGGATAAGGATAAAGAAAGCTTATACTCCTTATACTCCACATAGAAAGGCATAAGCCATCTTGTAATTCTACAGCTCTCATAATTGTCTGGTGTTGGCCCTGAAGAGTGAGAGATCTGGATTTGGTTTCGCTTGATTTGTGCTTGAAGGAGAAATGCAGTGGCAGGTGTAATTTTTGATGCTGGGCTGATGACCAAGACTCTCTTCTTCTGGCCTGAATAATGAAATCCTGAAGAAGGGCCATAATATTTCTCCTTGGCTTGAATTTTGCCTTCCTAGGGCAATAATTAGCTAAATCTCTTCACAATATAAGGGGTATCTTTCAGACCTTCTGTCACTTTCCTCAAAAAAAGAGAGAAAAAACCAACTCAGATGGCTTCCTCAGAGCAGTCTGAGGCTGCTACCTGGGTTCTCAGATCTGTAAAATGCAGATCAAAAGACTATTAAACAGGCTCATTACACCTCATGAAAACATTCCATAGCTGGAATTAGATTCAGATCTCAGCAGGTCCATCTCAGTTTTACCTAAGATAACAAAACAGATAACTTGACTCCTATCCAGATTTTTTTGTATGTGGAAGACTTTCAGGGGATAAACCCACAAGGTTTCTCTCCGTGCTGCTCCTGAAGCAAAGGACAGAATCTCCTTAAAAAAAAAATCCATGTAATTTGTCTGATGCAGGTCTTTATTCACACCAGAGAAGGAGGTTTCTGTTGTGACTGATCAATAATTTTCAGCTTATGAAAACCCTTCATAAAAAAATCAAGTGAAATATTACCTGATGATTCCACTTTCCCCTCACTTTCCTCCCAGCTATTGAAAAAGCAAGAGCACACTGTGCAGCCCAGATTCAGTTATCAGCAATTATCAAATATGCTCCAATAATTTCACACCTCTCTCATAACACAGGGTGCAGAAGTGTCCATAGTTTCAATTTCTCAAGTGACTTCACACACGCTCAATTTAAATTTTCCTGTCACCCACTACTAACTCATCTCAGAAAGCCTGGGGGTGGAGGAAATCAATTCCCTGACAGTTTGAAGCACACACACTCTGGAGCACGAATAATTGATATGATTTTTGAATGAACAGCTAAAATTCCGAGTATCAGTAATAGTACATGCTGCTCTTGTCTCCATCTAATTTCTTGGAGATAGTTCTGAAGTTTCCCAGAACCAGCAGCCTCAGGTCACCAAAGAGCTTCAGCTGCATCATTAGTGCAGGAATTAGAACTTTGCAACTCTTCAACCACTGAATCACCAGCACAAATGGGCTGTTTTCCTTTGGTAATTTACAGGATTCCTGCTAGTGATGCAAGATTACATCAAGGAGTTCTAATTTTTACTGCTTTAAACTAAAGTCTAAATTACCTCCATTGTGGCAGTGCTGCTCTCTTTTTAATTAGTTCCACCGCCTCATAATTATGATGAGTAAAGACTTAAGGTATGTACTAAAAAGGATCACAAGGAGACATTTAAGCCTCAAGTTAAGTACCCAGTATAAATTATTTTGGGGGGAAATATTGAATCAACATCAAACTTCAGCTATAGAGATATCATTTGTCTTCATTTAAGCCAGGTAAGAATTAGTGCCTGGTGTTATTAGTATTTTTAAAAGGACATTATTTAATTTTGAATTTTGGTAATTTTCCAGGTTGAAGACTACAGGATATGCTTATATTTGGCAGTTTATGAAGAGGAAGCTCCGTTTGCCTTACTGTGATGTTAAAACACAGATTATCACCCACACTTCCTCAAGTGTTTGCAGTTAATCAGCCCACTGGGCAGTGTCTGAAGTCACTACATGGCCTCATATTTTGTGTTGCTGAGCACAGGGGGACGGTCACTGCCCTGGTCCTGCTGCCACAAGCCAGGTGCCCTTGGCCTTCTGGCCCACCTGGGCTCATGTTCAGCCACTGTCAACCAGCACCTCCAGGGTCTTTGCCAACAGGGCAGCTTTCCAGCCACTCTGTCCCAGTGGGGCCCCAGCTTCGGGGGAAATGAGACCTGACCTGCAACACACACCTTTCCCCCACTCCAGGTCTCACACCCCACCTGCCCACCGCCCCCCACAGCTGGCACCAGGGGCTGGGAACAGCCACTGGGCCCCAGGGCCCCCATCCCAAAGGTGCCTTAGTGCCGGGTCAGAGCCCCAGGGTCAGCCTTGAGCCCCCTGGTACCACTGGGGGGGGCTGGAATCCCCCAGGCAGCTCCTGCAGCCCCCAAGCTACAGTTCCATCCCCTTTCCCACGGGATTTATTTCAGCTCCAGCCCCAGCATTTCCATTTCAGCTCCATGTGGGTTTGGCTCTGGCTCCAGTCCCAGGGTGCCCATTTTTATGTCCCCCCGGCCCAACAGATGGCATTTCAACCCCAGCCCTACAACCTTTATTTAAATAAACATCACAAAGCTAGTAATAGAATTAAAAAAAAAAAAAACAGAATAAAATAAAAACACCAGATCCAAAGTGCCCAAAACCCTTGCGGGAGCTCCCATCCGCACAAGGCAAGGGAGGTAGGGCAGCAAGGAAACGTAATGAGAATAGGAAAGGCATCAGTAGGGTACGGAAAAGGATAGATGAGGCGAGCAAGCATGGATGGGTGCAAGCAACGTAATGCAAATGAGCGGCCGGTAAAAGAGAGAAAAGTGCAAAGCGCCCCACGGCCGCCTCGCTCGCCTGCATGCCCCGCAGCTCCTCCTGCTGTTTTTCCCGCTGCTCGGCGATGGGGGCTCGAATCCCAGGCTGGCCTCCCCGCTCCGCCTCCGCACGCATGGCTGTGACTCCGCGCCCACCCTCTTCAGAAACAGCCCCGTGCTTCCGTCCAGCATGACCCGCCGGTTAAACCTTGCCCCGAATTTGGGGAACCCGGCCCACGTGTGGCCGTCAGCAAGCGAAGCCGTCGGGCACCCCCGGGCACCCAAGACACCGGGGTCCCGTCCCACGCGTCGACGATGCAGGAGCTGACTCACTGAGCTTCCCGCCCGGCTCCGCGGACCTGTCCCGCCTGCGGCAGCGCCGGAATCGAGGACATCGCGGCAGCAGCGAACACCACACCTGTGCACCTTCTAAACCAGTCCGGCTCAGGCAGAGCAGGTTGAGGCAAACGCCGCCCGCACGCGCGCAGCAGGACAGTATCACGCGCGGACAGACAGAGTTTATATTCTCATCTGCGCCGTACATTTGCTGGAGAGAAGGCACCCCTGCAGCCAGACGCCGCGGATGTTATCAACGCACGGAACAAGAACTCCAGCCAACCCGCCGTTCTGCTGGCTCCACCACACGGTCGCTCGCTAGGCCTGCCAGAGCCACCTCCACATCTTCCCAGCGACATTCTCGAGGGCCAGGGCAGGGCGCAGGAGTCGGCACAGCCTCTGCTCCCGCCGGGGGAGGGAGGGCATGATACAAGAATAAATACAGCTTTCAGAGCCCCCCCGAGCCCCCCACCCGCTGCTGCACAGCCTGGCCAAGGCATTTACAGGAGGAAATCTGTCAGCCAGAATCCAACCGAGGAGCAGACGTGTCCCGGAGGGGGCTAAGGCTGGCTCGTTCTCCTCCTGATCTCCTCCACCAGGCTCTCCCTGCGGATGTTGACCTACACAGGGGGGAGCACAAAGTTGCTTCAACACAACTCCAGCAGCTTCATGTGTCACCACAGTCGTGGCCCTGTGTCTCAGGAGGTCACACTGGGGTGGCACCAGCCCCTCTCTGGGGATGGAATGGGCTGCAGGACCCACAGGAGTTGAACCTGTAAGAGCAGGAACCACCTGCCTGCAATCCCAGTAAACCCCCTCCTGACCAGTGGTTGGGAGGGCAGTGCTCTTCTCACTCTTTCCTACTGGTTCCAAAGCCAGTGATCCAGTCAGAGACCATGCACTGCTTCCAGTGCTGCCTGCTTTGGGAATCTGTCCTGAGATAACAGGCACAGAGCAGCCTTGCAGTGTTACAGGGTTACAAGTCCTGCTCAATCCCACTCATTCTAAGAGGGCACCTCCAGGACCTTCATCAATGGTCCTATGTCATGGACAAAAAGCCCACTGATTCCCCCCCCCATGCTCCAGGCTCCTGGTGAGGAATAGCTGGGAGTTCAGGGAGATCCCAGAACAGAAAACTCTCCAGAGTTGGAGACAACAGCTCTCCATAGCTCCAGGAAGCTGCAATAGGGCAAGGAATGGGAATGTGGGGTGTTACAGAAGCTGCTGGGAAGCCCACTGGGTCAGGAGGGCTGGGCTGAGCCGGGCTGAAGGGTCACATAGCCCATCACCCCGTGGCAAAGCTGCCCCAGGCCTCACCTCCTCCCTGGTTGCCACAATGCGCAGTTTGATGACTCCATCCTTGAGCTCCTGCTCCCCCACGATGGCGACCAGAGGGATGCCCGTGTCCTCACAGTACTGCAGCTGGTTCAGCAGCTTGGGGTTCTTCTTGTACAGCATCTCTGCCTGGGAGAGAAGCAGGGCACGACCCTGTCATCAAACTGGGCTGTTCCACTGCACCCCCTCAGCCAGGCACTGCTGGTCTGGCCTGGTGAGCCTGTGGTTGTGTGGTGGGGAAGAGGATGGGTTCAGAGAGAAGGTTGGGCACCAGGTTTAACAAGGCCAAGTGCTGGGTCCTGCACTTTGGGTCACAACCACCACTGCAGAACTATAGGTTTGTGGCAGTGGGGCTGGAAAGCTGGGAGTGCTGGCTGACAGTGGCTGAACGTGAGCCCAGGTGTTCCCAGGTGGGCCAGAGGGCCAAGGGTATCCTGGCCTGTATCAGAAATAGTGTGGCCAGCAGGAGCAGGGCAGTGCCTGTCCCCCTGTACTGGCCCTGCTGAGGTTCCTCCAGGGCTGTGTCCAGTTCAGGGCCCTTCACGACAAGATATGGAGGGGCTGGAGAGTGTCCAGGGAAGGGAACGGAGCTGGGAAGGGGCTGGAGCACCAGGAGCAGCTGAGGGAGTTGGGGGGGCTCAGCCTGGACAAAAGGAGGCTCAGAGGGGACCTTCTTGCTCTCTGCAACTCCCTGACAGGAGGGGGAAACCTGGGGGGAGGTTGGGCTCTGCTCCCAGGGAACAAGGGACAGGACAAGAGGAAATGGCCTCAAGTTGTGCCAGGGGAGGTTTAGGTTGGATGTTGGGAAAATATCTTCCCCAAAAAGGGTGGTCAGGCCCTGGCTTAGGCTGTCCAGGGCAGCAGTGGAATCACCACCCTTAGAGGGGTGTTAACAGACATGTGGATGTGGCTCCAGTCCGTGCCACTGGGGTGTCCCTACAGGCCCAGGAGCCCTGCAGAGCACTGAGACATTCCCTTCCCCTCCCCTCATCAAGGCAGTGTGCCCATTGGGAATCTGTCCTGAGACACCAGACCCAGAGCAGCCCTGCAGTTTAACAGGGTTAACCAAGCCCTGCTGCCCAGCCCTTCCTGGAGAGTACCTGATTTGGGACACTGGGAAGAGACAGTCTGCCCCCAACTGCTCCCTGCTAACTCCTTCCTCCCAAAGCAAAGTCAGATCTGGTCCATTCCTGGCACAGAGAATGGACCAGGCAGCTCCTGACTTTGCCATCAGTGGGTCATACCTTGATTCCAGCATCCCACAGCTCGGAGATGAGCTTCAGCCGCTCTTCAAGGAGCTTCTTTTGGGCAGAGGCCACCAGCACCTGCGTCTCTGTTGTCCTGATCTTCTCCTCAGAGGCCTAGAGAGGGGACAAGACTCAAAAGATGCCACAGACATAACTGAGGGATCTGAGATTCCATGAGCAGGAGGGGTCACCACCCCAGGTGAGGAGGATCAGGCTCAGCAGGATGAACAGCACAAACTCGGAATCAGGGATGTTCCACAGACCCCTTCCTGGAGCAGAATCTCATTTCCTGCAGTTGTTCCATGATGGGGTGCTTAAGACAGCCCCCCTCCTGTTCCTCTACATCCAAGGGCCTCCCAGAGATCTGCTCCAAGCAGTTCAGGAGCAGCAAGCCCTGCAGAAGGTGGACAGAGACTCTGCTCTACAGCTGAGCTGCCAACTAGGGGTTAAATTAACAGCAGCAAACTGAGATGCTCCACCAGCTCCTGTGGCAGATGTTGGATATTCCAAGTGGCATTTTCCTGCTGCCTTGCTGAAGGGAGAAGCCTTTAAAAGGTCACCTGCAGAGGAACAAACCTGGCCAGGACCGGAGGTGGTGGGGGAGGAATTCAGTTTCTATTTAGAAATTCCAGTTGTGTCTGGCTGCCAGGAAAGAAGCAACACCAGGCCCCTGGGGGAGGAGAATGTGCAGCAGTGTTTTGGGAGGTCTTTTTACAAAGACCTATTTTACACCCATTGATTGGGATGGAGGACACACTGGTACAGCAACTCTGAGGACAGGGAAAGAGGAAAAAGGTATCTGGGAAACCCTCAGAGGCACTTTGCTTCCTGCCCTGGGACATCTGATCCCTGTCTCATCTCTGTAGTGCCATAGGCAGGACAAATAGATGTGTGAAGCTGTTGTTTCCTTGGAAGAGCAATGCTGTCCTGCCAAGGAGAACCTGGGGTCACAGATGCCTAATGCAGGGGGGAACACCAAGGCACCTGCCCTGGGTACCTGGCATTGCTGAGGATTTAAGTGCTTCCCACAGCAGCAGCTGGAGAAGCCATATCTGAGGCCTGTGGGAAGAAGGATCTTGCCTTCAGTGGGAGCCCCAGAGATCATCTGCCAGGCCAGAGATTTGGTGGTTACGTCCTGGCTCTGGCTCCTGCTGCAGAGCACAGCAGAGGCCTGGCTCGCTTCTCCGGAGGCTGTGGCAAGGAACATTCACTTCAGCATCTGCTGGACTGGGGATGCTGGGGGAAGATGTGAACCACTGCTTAGCTGAGCACCAAAGGCACCTACCTCCAGCCTCTGCTCCAGGATGGAGAAGATCCGCTCGATGCCAATGCTGACCCCCACGCAGGGCACCTTCCGGCCCTTGGGATCAAACATCCCCACCAGCCCGTCGTAGCGGCCGCCTCCAGCCACGCTCCCGACGCCCACCAGCTCCTCCACGTGCTCGTTCTCCTGCTGCAGCAGCACGGCCTCAAAGATCACCCCCGTGTAATAGTCCAGGCCCCGGGCCAGGCTCAGGTCGAAGGAGATCTGCAGGGCACGAGGGCGGCCCCGTCACTGGGTGCTTGGGGGGCTCACCCGGGCAGCACCCCCCCCTGCCCCTGCACCTCCTCACCTTCCCTGTGATGCCAAACAGGGTCAGGTACTCAAACAGCAGCTTCATGTCCCCCAGCCCCTCCTTGGCCAGCTTGTTCTGTGACAGCTTTGGGTCCTGCAGGAGCCGCTCGATCAGGTCCAGCCCACCTGTAGGAACCAGACTTGCCTCAGGTGTGCCAGGGCAGCAGCACCAGCCACAGTGGCCCCAGCCAGCCGTGTGTGTGCCCTGTGCACCCTCCATCCCCAGAACAAGCCCAAGGGCTCGGCCCCTCAGTGCTCACCGTGGAGCTGGACGTACTCCCCGATGCGATCCGCAGCCTCGGGAGAGAGCCCCTTCTCTCCCACCATCTCGCTCCTCACTTCCTCCCACGGCACCTGGGAGGGGACAGAA